TCTATATCCGCAACGTAATAGGAATTTGCTTATCAACAGTTGGAGAGGATTGAAAACCATATTTAATTAGAACACACACATTTCTGTTTAGCAACTTTTTATACACTATAAACGGGTCTAAATCGAAATACCGGCATAATAGAAATCCCGACAACCATAATCACGACAATGTTAAAATCTCAACACTGAAAATCCCGACATTATAATTATTGGTGGAATTTTTATTACCATTATTTCAGAAATATTCAGTTTTTCAAATCTTGAAAAATATTCAATTACCATATTGACATAGGTTCAACACTAAATACATGTTTATTTTTTAAGCTGTGAGTAGTAAAGTTCATTTTTTAATTCATTTCATTTATTATTCGAGCGTTATTAATTACTACGTGAATAAAAAAAAGAATATCCACATTCTATTGTTTAGAGCAGGATTTTCCAAACTATGTTCCGCGGTACACTGATGTTACTCGAAAAGTTAATAGGTGTTTCGTGAAAACCTGGAATGAATAATTACTAAGTAAATAAATTTCTTTTTTTCTTATTTTATAAAATGTTGTTGATTATGTGTTATTACCTAACTACAAACTACACAAGGTGTTCGTATTTTTTTTAGGATTTACAAAGTGTTCCCTTGCAAGGAAAGTTTGGGAATCCCTGATTTAAAACCTGTGTTTGATAGGATTGCCAAAATCCTCTAATCTTATTTGGAATTTTGATATTGTCGGGATTTGGATACTGCTATTAACATATATAATAAAGCAATACCCTTGCATAATACGGGTAATTGGTTCCACACTGTTTGGAATCAACGTAATGTGAATTTGATTAAAAACACTTGGCAGCAATCGGAAAACTAAAGATGTCAAAAAAAGACTAAAAAAAATATTGCGTACTATTTTTTTATAATTAAATTTTTATTTTGCTCAAGTAAATTTAATTAGATTTAAATTTTCATATTACTGTATAAATTAATACTTGTTTATATAATAAGGTGTGATTTTATTATAAAGAATATTATTTTTGTTATTGATTTATTACATATTTGTTGCGTAATGGAATTCACTTATCAACAGTTGGCAACAATCGGAAAACTCCACACATCAAAAACCACTTTAAATTAGAAACGCACAATCCTGACATCCACTTGGCAATTTCTTTTCTATTTTATGGTGCTCGTTTTTATTTCACATCGAATTGTAATCAACTGGGTCCGCATTTCGACCAGGTTTCGACTTAATAACGCCGCCCGGATTTAATTATTGGCGGAGCTCGCGAGTGTTTGTGACAATTAGGTTATACATTGTTAAACAGCGACAGTTAGTCTAAGAATAAAAAGCTGCCGTCATGCGAAAACGCAATTAACAATTAACCCCCGTAACTTATCGCAAATCTGTTGTGTTTATTATTAATGCGAGTAATTAGACGGCACGTGAACGTGCGCACACACACACACATATACACGCACTCATATACATACACAAATACACACTCAAACACAGGCAAACGGCGTGTGGAAATTTCACGTAAAGGTTCGAGGCAACCGGATCGATGCAGCTTAATTAAATAATCAATTTGGACTCACTTAAATGAACTGCACAACTTTTCCTAATTACGCACGCCATTTAAACGTCCGCATGTAACCGTTTTCCACTTGGGAGATGATTTCCAATTCATTATGGTGGCATCAACGGTTCCCATCTTGACGTGATGGTTTCATTGAAATGTGAGCACATTTCGATCACAATTCATTTTAATATTATTTATTTACAATTAGCTCTACGTAAGTAGATATTATTATTTTTATTAAACTACGCCCAATTGGTATAATATCGTTAAGAATATAAGTGTTTTAAATTCGAAATAACACATTTTAAGGCGTATTAAAACATCTCATAGTATCGATTAAAAAAAATGTAATCAACTTCGAAAAAAAAGTTACCTTATACATGATTACATATCTAAATATATTCTACCATCACAAAAATGATCACAATGTTACATGACAACTTGTTAAAATTGCTATAAAGACAAGCATTTGCTTAATTACTTTATTAAAAAGATAATACACTTTTTAATAAAGTAATTAATGATATTATATATTTTTTTCTTAATAAATAAGGAGGAATGTGCACATTAATCGATAAGTATAAATCTATTCAGAATAAATTACCGTTAGGTAACGCTTTGACACGCAGTGGTATAACGTGATTAGTTGATCCTATAGTGGGTTAATATGCACGATGAATTCATATCGTAAAATTACTTTAAACTATAACTTTAATCTATCAATAATGGCGTTTAATGACTCGTTGGTCAACTAACAAGCTATTCAAATATTTTAATCCAAAATTATGTTGCATTAATTTTACATGAATGTTAAATAAAATGCGTATTAAATTAGTTTATGTAAAGTAAATTATTATTTCAATTTAAACTTAAACTTATTTAGATAAACTGTATTAATGTAAAAATATAACGTTCTGTTAGTTATTTAATAAGCTATCAATATATTTTAATACCAAATGATGTTTATATAAATGTGTATGAAGGAAATTGATATTGTCATAATGGTTTTATGTAATGTTAATTATTATTATAATTTATTCAATGGAAATTACTGTACAATAATACTTCCCATTATTCGATTCATCCTTTACTGTTTGAAACCGAACTTATCGAGTACTACAAAAACGTATAAAAATAAATAAAAGAACAAAACTGTATAAATGGGAAAACGGTAATTTAGGTATAAACAATATATTTGCACTATTTTTTAGAATTTATTATAATTTTGACAATAAAAATTTAGTTTGTTTTATAATTATCAAAATGAACCCGCACTAATCGCAGCCGTACTATGAGAAGTATTACTGTATTTGTAATTTTTAATGAAGTTCGATCTTTAGTTACTTTGAACACATTTTTAATTATGTTTTTATCAAAAAATTAAATAAATTGTTAATAACGTTTTTCATTAATGAACCAAATTCTTGTTTAAAAATAACGTCTAATTATATAAAATTGAATAAAAGTTAAACTTTCTAATAAAATTAAACAATTTATCGTTAATTTTTTAAATTGTTTTTGGTTTTATAGTAGTACAAATCGTATTTGTCTCGAATATATTTTTTTTTCTTTATAAATTATAAACGTTAAAAGTTTGAATATCAATACTTGCAATTAAGTATAACAATACCTCGTATAGTCCCGGTAATCGGTTTCGCTAATATTCCGTATTGCTTAAAACCGGACTAATTAAGATTATAAAACCACATAAAAATAGACTGCTTAAATATAGATTTAAGTGTACAAAGAGAAGAAAAAAAGATCATTTATAATAAGTAATATCGTATACTAACTTTCTAGAATTTATTTAGATTTTGTCTAGTAAAATTTAGTTTTTTTGAAATTTTCATACCGGGAATAATGATCGACTAATGCTGTACACATTTTTTTATTGATATTTTATTGACAAATGGTTGGAAAAACGCTGAAATTCAAATTACGTAACGAATTTCGCATGCGTGATTAATTAACAATCTAGGAGACCAATCGAATCGTTCCGATTGTTAAATAAAACTGTCCATTAAGTGTCGCGTGAATGCGGCCCGTTAACTTCCGTCATCGCTATTGTTGGACTACCCCCATAGCATATCATGAACCTGCACAAACACCTTTAGGGTACGCTTTTATTTCTATTTATGTGTATATATATATATTCGTACGTTGTATACTTCTATCCCAATTTTCATCAGGAATCGATCATCGTAATAATGATACAACCGTCCCAGTCCTACATGTACGCAACTATAGGTGTATATAATTACCTGAATCACACCTGTCCCTCGATGGCAATCAACTTGACAATATATATATATACGTATACGCATGTATATGGAGCCTAAACTAATAGTCGAACAATACAAACACGCCATCCCCATATATCATAACGTAATGATGCAGTGTCCGACTGTTATCGGACAAAGGTATCGAAACACAACACTGCGACTGAAAAATGTATCAAGTAATAATGAAAAAGGAAAGAAAATAAATACACAAAAAATTATATAAAGGTAGAAAAAGAAACGAGAAGAAATAAACGAACCCCCGAAAACGATAATAGAAAGGGACATTAATTACCACCCGCTATCAGCAACAAATCGCAACTTACACCCCGTTATTACCGAGCCCACTTCGCCACTCTTCACCATTTATTTGGTTTCGTTTTTTTTTGTACTTTCATAACAATAACTTCCTGCATCTTTAATAGCGCTCCTAGACAACGCTGCTCAATATATATGTGACGCTAATGACATTTACACATGTAAATGTGTTTATTTCTCATCGAAAATTGTTTCATTATCTGTCATCGTTTATGCAGGATGTGGAAAACAAACTTGGAGCTAATTTATCATTTTACCTACTAATCGTGTTTAACAGATGGCACTCACCTATTTATCATTACAGTTTTAATTTTTTTTTCAAAACAATATGTCTTCAAAGATTTGATAGATCTTTGATGTTATTATTATAGCTATTAAGATATAATTATTATTTTAAAAAAGTGACATCTTGTACTTGTATTTTGCAAATGTTAAGTATTTTTTATAGAAATGGAGCTTATTTTGTCTCAATTATACGTGATAATGCTAAAAATATAACTTAGATTAAATGATAGTTCAAGCGCCATCTATGTTTATCAGCGCAACTAGATTCTTTAAAATAAAGCAATTTTTATAAAGACAATTCTTTATACGTAGTGGATTTGAATAAATATGTGGAAGAGACATATTTACAATACGTTGACAATCAACGAAATAACATTGGATCGAAGCGAGTTCAAAGAAATGTTATTGGTGAACAGTGAAATATATATATATAACTTCGAAGCCCTCTCTCGTTCATTGTTTGCGGATCATCCGATTGAGGGGATGTTTTTCTGTTTTCTTTTTGGGTTTGTTCGTTGGATGGATACTAATTCCGTTTTCAATTTCCAGGAGAAGGAAGTTGCAACTCGAACGACGGGGTGTCTGAGTTGCGATACGGAAAGGGCGCTGGGAGCGGCTCGGACGACGAATCGGGAACGGCGGGAGGCATGTCGGAGGCGGATAACTGCAAGAAAAAGCATCGTCGCAATCGCACGACCTTCACCACTTACCAGCTGCACGAGTTGGAGAGGGCCTTCGAGAAGAGTCATTATCCGGACGTCTACAGCAGGGAGGAACTCGCGATGAAAGTCAATCTACCAGAAGTCAGAGTACAGGTAAACAATTACAAAACAATTCTTTATTGATTTGTTCGCCCTTTGGTATTCTATATTATATATAAAAAATATGTATAGAAAATTATTAAAGAAAAGAAGAATAGCGAAATTTTAGGACAATCTAAGTATTAAATTGACTTAAAATATAATTGCATCTAATGGTCCTTTATATAATAATAATCAAAAAATATATACAATTTGGTCATACAAAAGGATCGCAGTCTTTCCGCCCAGTTTAGTAATATTTTTCAATCAATTCGAAATTATTTATTTATATTTCTTTTTATAATTACATAATGCTAATTATTAGACTATTATAAATACTAGACTGATTCGAGCTATATTGCCTCTTTCAGTTTTCCTATAGTTGGCTGCGTCTTATCGCACAGAAGATACGATAAATCACTAAACTTTATGATCATCTATAAGAGATATTTTCAATACTAGTACATTATTAAAGTTCATTCTAAGGAACATAGTACATTTTACTGTTTTCTTATCTAAAAATTGTTTCATGAACTATGGTCATCATCTCACTTATATATACATTAATATTAGATTTATATTACTTATTTTGTGGTTGAATATATAAATTAATTTATCCTTCCCTATTTAAGGATATGATTATAACTGCACCAAACTTTATACAAAAATTGATTGAAATTTTTAATTCTTACTTTGTGTTTGATATAAATTAATGAAGTAAACCATCTTCATTTAAGTTAAAATCTTATTACAGTAATTAAGTTTGCTTATTATACATTAAAAAATATCTATAAAAGTTTCTAAGCTTTATAAAACATATGACAAGCTTTTATTCTTCACTATATGTGTTATTTTTTGTCTTTAGTTATTTAAACATTATCGACCTTTAATTAGAGCTACAATAATAATAACAATAGTCAAATTAATTGGCCAAAAAACAGGATATAAAACAAATTGACAATAAGTAGTTTTGGCCAAACGGAACTGAATCAGTTTTTCCAATTAAAAAAAAAGATCAACTGATCTTCCTTCTTTTGGTCTCGAAAAAAAGGGCACAATTTCCCTGGGCATGCATAATTAGCTCATAAATAAAAAGTAAATGAAACTATAATAAATAACATGGTAAAAATTATATAAATATATAAGAAAATATATAAAGACACAAATATAAAATATATAAAAACATACCAGCTGCATAAAATCATCGACAATTGAGTATATAAACTAACAACTAACAAAAAAACAAAACAATTAACAATCATATAATCAACTTTTTGCCATAGTTGAAGCGAATTTAGTAATAATAATTTAATTATAAAGAACTTTTTTTAACAATTAATTTGTTCACAATGAAAAATCTGATTTTCATTGTAAAATAATGGTTTTCATTTCACATGAAAACTATGTTATTACATTAATGATAATAATAATCTTTATTGCAACAGTAGAAAATAAACATTTTCATTCACAAAAATAATAGCAAAACAAAATAGATTAAGTGGTGTAATGCCCATAACTTTCTGCCCCTGTAAAGTATATTCAAGTTGAACAATAATATCGCTGTTATTTAATATATTCTTCCCATTTTTTTTATCAGCATCACTTTACTCAACAAGTAAGATAATCAATAAGATTCATTGCCTTACAAATAATTATCTTCAACATAAATTTCCTAATTATCATTAATTTGAATCTTTAATAATCTATTCATCATTTTATCTCTCATTTTAACTAATAATATAAATATTTTTTTCACAATAATCATATTATATAAAAATTTACAGGTAAAATAAAAAAATCAAATGAATAGTGTCAACTTTTGACTTTTTTCGTCCATATCTTAACATTTTTTTCATTTAATTAATTATAATAATATTATTATTTTTTTCAATTAACATTTACTTACATTTTTATATAAATTTTATAAATAATTTTTATTATACAAATTTAATATTATAAATATTATTTTCTATTTTCCATCCCAATAAAAATACTTTTGGAAATTATGTTTTTATAACCATTGTAGGTAAACAGCAGAGAAAATCAAAATGGCATTTCGTTTCGGCAGAGAATTATGTTTATTGAAGGGAAATAAATGTTATTCTTTATTTTTGTATGTGTGTGTGTGTTTGTTGCTTTTGGAATCATGTGAAGATGTGCCTTCGGAACACGCCAACCAGAACCAGTCACGGAAACGGATTTTATTATTTCCACCCCACATGCTGCCGTTTTTTTTTTACTTCAGTTTGTGTGTGTATTATATTTTCTTTCACTTTCTTTCTTTGGAATATTATATAAATACATCCTTGTTTAATAAATATGTTTCGGCCCAATTTATAGCCTCTTTAGATTTATTGAAATACTTTACGCAATAATTCAGGATTCAGTTGTTATATCGATAGGCCAAAAAAAAGTAGTCCACCTTAATCGAATTATATTTTATTTTTATACACATTTTTTCTTATTTTTATTTTTATCGGTCGGTAATTTTGAAGATACGAATGGTGGGATGAAAATCGGAAGAGAAGTTTAAAAACAAATGGAAAGAGAGAAAGATAGAAAAGAGAGAGAGTATAAAAAAAACGTGGCGCGTTGGAAAAGCGTCAATCTGACACGGGATCAAGAGTTGTAATCCGATTGTCTCGTTAGGGATGTCTTGTTAGTTCAGCACCGTGATAAATTGCTGTCTTCCTTCGCACGCGACCCGACTGGATCAAAAATATCGAATCGGATCAACAAAAGGAAGGAAATAAATTAATTGAATTCACTGAAACTATGATTTAAAAGAAGCTTTGATACAAATTTGTCATAATATTATTGATTATAAAAACACAACGAAAGTTGCTGTAATTTCCAATAAACCAGACTAATTGAGGAACTAAATGTATACAAAAAAATAAGCTGCACAAAAAGAGACTTAATGAAAAAAACATAATTTATATATAGAAAAATAATTGTGTGTATTGTTTTCAAACCTGATTATAATAAATCTGGACTGAAGCTTGTATCTATTTAACACTTTAATCCCTGTGGCATAAATCAATAATAAATTTAATTGACCTTAACTACTATTATATATCCAAATAAAATGCATAAATTGTAGTAATATTTGCATTTGTTGGTGGTTTATCATCGTCATTAAATAATTGTATAATACTAATTATTAAATGATAATTATTATAAGTTTAATTAAATAATTAATAGATATATTTAAAATTTAATAATCAAATTGTTTAATTTCAAATATATTTCCAGTCAATTGAATAATTTCAAAATAAAATTATTACATGAATTTCATAATAAAGCAAAGAAATCAAAAATTTATTTTTTAAGTAAATTTTTGTTTCAATAATATAATTGTCTATAAAAATCAGAAAATATCTGTATAAGTTTTTTTTAATATATAACAATTGGTTCTGCATTCTTACATATGGTGTTAATTTCAATATTTTTCTATGAACGCCATCTATAGAAATTTATTGAAGCTTATTTATTCAATAATATCAAAATTTCCCACATTTTTAATAATAAGGTCGTAAAATGTAACTTCTAGAATTTCAGTTACAAAAGTTTAAAACCTAATTTTATTTATGTATCTTTTTCAATTTGTCGTTATTTTTGCATGTCTTTTTGTATGCTATTTATTTTTATGAGGTTTTAACGTACTCGATTAACTCTTTTACTTGTATATGTCAATTTATTTATGGAAAAATCAGAAGTTCAGTTTTTTTTATCATTATATTTATAATATTATTGAACATCTGTATTGGATATAATTAAGACTTAAAGTCTGTAGACCAAAAAATTTCTGCCAGAGTTTAAATTTACGCAAAAAAATATCTATTTGAATATAAATGTACTTGTTTCATAAATATGAAAAGCAATCGCATTTTTTTTTTCAAACAATAAACGTAAATAATCCTATTGCAATACACACATAGATTTCACAAACGTTTCATTTAGCAACAATGTATTTCCAATTTAAAAAAAATATAAATTTAAATTTTCGTTCGTGTTTTTTTCCTTCTATTATTATTACAGTTTGTTGTTTATGTTCGGTCCGATTAAAAAAAAAACCATTTTTTTTCGCGTTTCGTCATTACTCTTTTGTGTCGTTATCGAAATGAAATGTTTTGCAAATGAAACGTCAATAAACGAGAGGGGGTGCTGTACAAGCTGGGAGACAGGGAGCAAAAACATATATGATATACATATTCCGGTTGATTTTACAATTGAGCAAGAGTAATTTTTATGATTGAATTTGTGTTGTGCGTTGCGGCAGACAAATTGCGAACCAGCATACAAAGGATACAGTAAAACTCGCACATACATAACGTGCATACACAAACCAGGCGCATGCAAATAAATGTTACAGGAGAGAGCGAAAAAAAATTGAATATGTTTGTTTGTTCCGTTTGATATACAGTCATAAATATGTTTGGATACATTTTATCCTTGTCACACGACACGAGAGGGGATTGGGGATAAAAACATACAAACGTGTGCAACAAAGCTGAAATCTGTAACTGAAATGCCTGAAATGGAATGTTATAGGAAAAGAACAAATAGATGAAAACTGCATATAAACAATGGGTGTTGAATAAAATTAATTTCTGCTTTATGTCACTTTATTTTTTTTGTCGCAAATGTAGTTTTGCGTGTCTTGTGCAAAAGGATTACTTGAAATGAAAACAAATCGTTTTAGTGTTTTGTAACCGAATTAATATACATTATTTTTAATAGACCAAAAAAATATATACATATACATTTTTTATTACATTTTATACCATTAACCAATCTAAATAACAATCAAAGAAATACATCGCATTTGTATAAGTATAAGAATATGAAAAATTAACACATTATATACATTTCCATTAGTTATACAAAAATAGATCATGTGTTTCACATGTGCAAAATCGTTAGTGCTATAAGTTAGTTACATAAATAAAAAAGTAACTAATATAAAATTATATTTTATTATTATATTTTACCATATTTCATAATTTTAGATA